AACCCCTGAAGTCCAGGCCTTAGTGTTCTCTGTTGAGCATCAATAATTTCACACAGGTCAGCATCAAACAGGGCCCCTCAGGGATGGTGATGGGCCAAAACAAACACRGCCACTCACAGTCATGGCCAAGCACAAGCAAAACATGAACAGTGTCCAAACTGTAAAAATGTAAAAATGACCAACTCCCCCTCTCCCCTGGCTTTAACCTTGCCCCATCCTTCCTGCCTTCCACAGAAGAATTATTAAGATCATCATAGAACTAACCGCACTTTGTGACACCATGAAAGCCAGAGAAAAACCTTTGTCCATCATCTAACATCAGCCCACATCCTGTGATGCAGTGCTCCCTGGTTCCCCTGTCTGCAATGAGGCATTACTTGGTCAACTCYGGGTGGTTCCAGGGGGTCTTAGGAACAGCACCTGAGGTCTTCCTGAGCCCAGACTGCTGTGCCTCCATCTTTCACTGACCCTCTGGGCACATAGGGTGTTTAACTTCGGGGAAAGCGTGGAGGGTTGATGGTATTCTAGTTTTTACTACATAGTGTTCATTTACTTGTGGTCCTCTAAAGATATTACTGTCAAAAATCACAGAGAAGCTAAAGTTTCTAAGCATTTACCAACCTCCATTAGGAGGTTGCTTAGAGACATTCACTTACTCACCCTTACCTAAGTGTTCCTTGTTAGTGGACTTGTCTCTTGCTCAGAACTTGGGATGCTGGCCTGCGAGGCACAGTGGAGCTCAGGGCAGACACGCTCAGTGGTACCATGACAGGAGTGGAGAGGGAGGTCTGTGTGAGGCACTGCAGGAGTTGGGAACAGAGTGGCTCCCCTCCCTGACGAGTCCAGGAAAGCCTTTCTGTTTGAGCCAGATCTTAAAGCCCCGACTCTCATGTAGAGCAAAGAAGGCCCAAAGAAACTGCCTGGGCCATGTCTCAAATGGGAAAATTCTGTCTGTTGTGTTAGGGTAAACCCAGATCCTGCAATCTGCATGGCTGAACCCAAGAAACCAGTGAGAGAGGATGGAGAATTAAGAAAAATRCACACACATTTGGGCACCGAGGCACACACCTGTAATCCCAGCAGCTTGGAAGTCTGAGACAGGAGGATGGCAAGTTCAAAGCCAGCCTCAGGAAAAGGGATGTGCTAAGCAACTCAGTGAGACCCTGTCTCTAAATAAAATACAAAATAGGGCTGGGGATGTGGCTCAGTGGTCGAGTGCCCCTGAGTTCAATTCCTAATACTGCCCCCCACCCCCCAAAAAAGAAAAACATACAGATATTGAGAGAGAAAGCTGGAATCAGGTGGAACACTGCACTCTGATAGAGAAACAGTGTCTGAAGCGCTGACCCAGCAAGTTTATTTATATAGGGTCTCAAAATCAAGAAATTAAGGACTATAGAGGCATTGCTCCTTGTGCACTAGAAAATTATGGGGCTAGAAACATTCTTGTAGCTATTTCAATTATTGGAATGCTTGGGGCTTCCTGTGGCACCCAGGAAGCCCATTGTTCAAAGTTTCTACTAAGTGGGAAGGCTTGAAGTGAAACTGGTGAAACATTGCAGTTTTCTTGCTATGCTCAGAATCCTCTGTCCTGGGAGCTGGGGTTTGAGCTCCAAGCTATGAGCTACCAGGGGTCACTATTCAGCTGGGAAGTTGTCAACTGGCACCTTCCCACCGATAAATTCCTAAGAGTGGTATCACCTCTGTCCAGGGGTCAGTTCAAAGCAATGATTCATTCGCCACTCTTGACATCCAGAGTGGGGTCAGGAAGGTGGAWCAGGAGGGAGTGGAAGTAGGTGAGGGGTTAGGGAAGGAGAGTCCATATTGGAAAGGCCTGTGTGCTGTCCCAAGGAGTTGACATTATCTTCCTGAGTCTGGAGGGCCATTTCAGGCAGGAGATTAACATGACCAAATCCATTTCAGAAAGATCATTTTGGCAGAGGAAAAAAGAAAGATTTTAAAAAAAAAAAAAAACAACATGATTTTTGTGACAAAAAGGTTGAGTTTTGATTCATGGTCTACAAGGGATATTTATTAGCTCTAATGAACTAGAAGACTAATGGGCCTTGTTTGCCCAGCTAAGGAGCTCCATGATCTTAACCCGGGGTGATGGCGAGCCTTTGAAAGATTTGAAGCACGACAGTGATGTGGTCACATCTGTCCAAAGAAAACAAAACCAAAAAAAAAAAAAAAATCAGCCACGGTGGGTTATGTTAATATGTGATTCCATTTAGTCTTTTTGGAATATTGAAAACAGCTTGAAGACTCCATCGTGACCTTGCCAGAAAACAGGTTGGAAAATTCTGGATCAAATGATTTCTTAGCTCCCCTCTCACTCTGACAGTCTAAGGTTCTGTAACAAGGAAAGTAAAGCTATTGCCAAAACGTATAATGCATCACGGTGTCAGACTTTGGGATTATCTGCTGCTTGGGGTTTTCCACACCACTGCTCCTCTTCATTAGTGGGGATAATTGAGAGTTGACTGCAGTTGGTACCGCTGTTGTGATGGGTATTTGAAGCTAAATTCCGGCAAGCAGGAGATGTGTGAATATTTATCTCGGCTGCAGAAAGTGAATGCAGCGTGGCATTAATTACCCTGTCTGCGCCTGCTGTCGTCCCCTGTTTTTAGGTGTCATTCTCAGTTGGATAAATTAGTTTCCAAAATTAGAATAGAGCAAATTGTAGGGTGAGATCAAGCCAGCCTGACTTCTTAGGGCACCCAGAAAGAATGGGCTCAGAAACTCAACCCAGGACACATGCAGATACCTAAGGAAACGCTTCTTCCCAGTCATGTGCCTGACTGTTTTTCTTTGTTTACTCTCCCTACTCTACCCCTGGAGTGCCCAGGGAGAGAGAGAGAGAGAGAGAGAGAGAGAGAGAGAGAGAGAGAGAGACAGTGACGCTCATGTTTTAGCCTTACAACAGATATTTGAAACAGTCAAAGACATTGGCACAGAGTAGATCAGGTACTTAATAAATCATCTTGCTATACGTTTTGATCAATTTGATTTTGAAAGAATAAAGCCAAGTTGAAGTGTGTTTAGAACAGAGGAATCACAACAGTGAAGAAACTAGAAACTGTCACAATCACTCACTGACAAAACAGAGGCTCTTTTTGGAGGACCCAWGATCTGCTATCTGAACTATAAGACTAATGGGCTTATAGTTTACATAATGTATATGTAAAAAGGCAGAAGGTACCAACCAGCAAGCAGTAACCCAGAGGAAGGAGGTGGAAAAATGGCTCTGGACCCTCTGTCATTGGACATGTGAAGAAGGATTGCAGTTCTTTCTGATTCAGAGGGCAGCAAGAGGTGTGTGGGTGGAAAGCAAGAAAGGACCTATTAGCATTATTATGTTGCAGAATAGGGTGTCTGCGAGGGCAGGGTGTTCCTGCTCCCCAGAAAAACCCAAACAATGAACCCTGGAGGAAAACACCTTGGCTCTGAGGGTCACAGCCCTGCGTTCTACCCTGGGCGTGCTTCCTTAGTAACCCTGTGCTTGGGGGGGGGTGGGGAGGAGAGCTCTCCTGCAGATTCCTCATCTCTGTACTGGTGGGCCTGGGCCTTATCTTGCAGGTCCTCTCACTTTGCAATATAAAGCAAGCAGAGCAATACACAAGAAGCAGCACGGTCACCTTGAGACTGCACAACCTCTCTGATCTTGAGGCTTTATCTGTAAAATGAAGATGGGAGGGAAAAAATATCTGCTTCCAGGACTGTTAAATAGATAAAATAAGACATGAAGGTGCTTTGTAAACTCTGAAGCACTTTACAGATGGAAGGATTAGTTGGCCTCTCTCATAGTGGCTGCTGTAATAGACTAGGAAAAAACACTGCACCCCATTTCCAGGGCTCCTGTATCCAGACATTAGCATTGTGACCATGGGCAAATTACTCAACTTCTCTGTACTTGATTTCTGACTTGCAAAAGAGAGCACACCTGCTGTACAAGGTGGTTATGATGGGTTATGTACTTAACAATCCCTAGCACGGTRCCAGGCACATAGTAGAGACTCACAAAATGCCAATTCATTCTGAAGGTCCAAGAAAATAAGGAAAGAAAAAGGATCTATACACACTTGGCACGAGGCAGAATAACATAAAATTCTGTAAAATATGGCAGAATAAAGATATGAGTGTGCTCATTTAATTCTGCCACAAACAGCCTTGAGGTCAGTTTTAGCAGAAGGGTTAGACTTTGGATCTGATGTGCTTGGCCAGTGTACACCGGTTCATCTCAACATGAGCCAAAGTCTGAAGTGGCTTAGACAAGGACAGGCACCTGTCCCCATCTACAATTGTCTTGCTGCATTGTGCTGAAAGTCCCTGTGTGGGTCTCGGGACAGCGCCTCAGGTGCAGGCAAATGAATGGCCAAACCAAACATAGCAGGTTGAAATAGAAACAAGCCCTAGAAGCTTTTGATTAAGAGCTAAAGACCGCCTGCTGTCTCTCTTGCTTGCTAGTCACCCTGTCACCATTGTTTGTGGAAGCCAAGAGCAGCTTGGTCTAGAGTAGACACCCAGAAATGGTGCTGGGAAAATATCCACTGGACCCATCATGATTGTTAGGGTTCTCTGAGGACTCTTTCCTCCAAAGCCTTGTGCTAGATGTTTTTCTGTGGATTAGTTCTAATTCTTTCAAGAACCCTCCAGGAAAAGCAGTATTAGTTACATTTCTTGCTTGAAGAAACGGAGGCTCAGAAAGGATAAATATCTTACCTCCATCACATAGTCGGTCCAGCTTCGCCCACCCGCTAGATCATGCTAAAGCAGTCCCTGCTTAAAAGCCAAGGATAGAACTGGGTGAGACATTCTTTTTCGTGAGAAAAACATGGCCAAAATGATAGGCACAATGATGGAGTAATCCAAAAATACCCTGAGGTCATCCATCATCCGCTGTCACCTTTCTGTCTTGACTCCYAACCCTTCCTGCCTTAAGCTGTCTCAGAACATCCCACCTGGAAAGGGCAGATCTCACTTTGTCCCTCTGTCCACAGGAGCCAGAGCCTCTCTATGCGCAGATCAACCGACCTAAGAAGTAGCATCAATGTGAGCTCATGGTGGGTGCTTCCAGACTGGCACGGAAATCGGCATGGCGACAGGCTCTCTTGTATTCTTTCACCTCACCTCATCTCACGAAGAAATTCACTATTGCCCGATGGAACTCCTTCTGAGGAGGGAACTAAGCATTTTCGGCAACCAATGGCAGATATCTATGGCAGCACAAAAAAAAAATCCACAAAAGTATATATATATATAAATAAAAAACACCCAACATTAAATCACAAATCAAGCAAATACTTACCCAACAAATATTCTGAGCTCTCTTAGCTGGGTTTAAAATGACCTGGGATATAAAATCGTAATTCTGCTTTTATTTCTCTACCTGTTGACCACTGTAGAGACAGAAAATTTGGAGTGACAGGCATCAGAGAATTGCAACAAGGTTGGCACTGACTTCTTTTAGGCAAAAGCAAGAGGGTCCACTGTGACCACAATGTCATCATTGACCCTATGCCTTCTGGCATATGATGAGTTTTCCCATTGCTCCACAGGGCTTGGTCTGCCATCCCTCACCCACACCTTTCCTTTCTTTGTCATGTTTGAAAATTAATGGGTGTATAAATTTTTGTATTGCTTTTGACTTTTTTTAGATRTGGGTGAAGAAATCTAACTGGGAGCGGGGGGGGAAAGTCTCTTATTATGAAGTAATTAACTTGAAATCACAAGACAAATAAGTGATGGATTATTCATTGTGATCAAGAATGTTGCCAAAATGACCCTTTAGTCGTTCTGCAAGCTGGTGAAGAAGGACAGTTTTTGGTTTGAATCTTCACTCTGTGYGTAGGAAAGGACATCAAATCCCATTGATGAGAAAGATGGAAAAAAAAAATGCATCTGGTTTCCTAAGAAGCTCTAAACTCTGAGTACAATAAAATGATATTTTTATTTTCCCGATACTTTGCTGCTGTGATACTATGCAGACAAGTGTCTTCTCCACGTGCCATTTTCAAAGAAAAGTCATTTGCCAAATAATTCTGGTACAATCCTGGTCGTGTGGTTTTGGATCTTGAGAACTGACTTTCTGCTGGAACAATGAGGACATAAAACATTCAGCCTAACAAACTGATCCCGTGGTCAAAATGGTTCATCTCTCTTTTTGTACATCCGAAAATTCAAACGGGATTTTTATTTTGTAACTTGAAAAAGAAAAAAAAAAAAAACCTTACCATTAAACTCTTTAAATATTTAAGGGAAATGGCTTTAAGGAGTTCTAATGAAAAAAAAATTGTCAGTTTTTTTTTTTTGTAAATATAAATGTTAATGAAAATGCTTTTTAATAATGCCATTACACTGTAGAGAAGGTGGCAGGCTGCGTGCAAAGTGTGACACCTTGATGGATGGGGCTCACTCTCCAGATGTTCCACTGGAGCAGATGGCAGGAAGGAGGTCGGGGACAGCTGGCGGGAGCATCTGGCCCATCAGCAGCTGGGGAAAAAGAGGGGGACTGTGGCTCCATAAGCCCACCTTCCACCAGCATGCCCACGTGGTGTGCAGAACAGGAACAAGGTGGTTCGCATTAGAAGGCCTGGCCTTGAGGTCCGCACACTCTCCACACCCACCTACTCCCTCCATAAATCACGGACTCTGTGTTCGAAACAGAGGGTTTAAGCTTCCTGTTTTTACACGGATGGGACAAAAAGTGCAGTGTTCGGTTCACATGTTCCGCACATGATTTTCATAAAGAATTATATATTTTTTTCCCTACAGAGAATTGTTATACAGGTCACACGTGTTTTCCTGATGTTCCTATGCAGTTACGGTATGTTGACTTTAGTGGTTTAACACTAAGAAGGAATCTTTAAAGAATCCTGTAATTCACTGGATTGTGGGGGGGTGATTCTTATTACTTGGTTTAAAATTTGAAAAGTAGAATTTGCATGGATCTGATTGGCTCCAATAGGCCTGTATGCTTTGGCTCTTCATGTCGCTAGAAATGGAAATGGTTTGGAAGATGAATTCTAAAATGATTGTACCCTTTATTCTCCCAAAAAARAAGAAAGAAAAAATAGAGAGATGTGTAGGTGATTATTGCTATCTGAAGCCCACATATTACCCAATAAGGTCATTGGAATCAGATTTGGGGTGGGGGGGGTGTGGATAAACTGACCAAATGCCAAATGTTCATTAGAGAATATACATCAATGTCATCCCAGTGTGGAAGATCCCAAGAACCAGAAAAGCGAGAAGGCCATGTAGCACCTGCAGTGTCAACTGGGGTCCCAAGACCCCTCCAGCAGCGTCCAGAGATATAATCAGGCAGTGCTGTCATAGGAAGGAGAAACGGGAAAGGTGTGATCAGCAGGGGAGTTGTCCTGAAACCAGTTCGACRGTGAGTTCTGGAGGTTGGATAAGGTGGGCAGTTCCCGGGGGGAGATCACCCAAGCTGCTGTTCTCCTCGATCCCGATTCTATACAGTGGTGCTATCTTCTCCCTCAACGTGGCCATCCTGAGTTTGTCCCGCAGTATCACACCATCATGCCCATGCTTCCGGTTGCTTCTGCAGTGTTCAAAGTGAACCGTAGCTGATGTTTCGGGTGCACCTTCCGGAGTTAATTTCATAGCAGAGGGTGACAGCCCAATGGCTTGTCATCACTCATTGAACATGCTTGAAAATGTAACTGGCTCTGAACTTCCGGAAGATGCCCATGTGATGCGTTAAAGAGGGAAATAAAGTTGAGATTTTTAAACTGCCATCTATAGTCTCATTGGCAGAATTCTGATTTTTTTTTTTTTCCAAGCGCTGTTTGGTGAGTCCAGCCACACCGTACCCTATCCCAGGAATACAGTGACATTTCCAAACAAGAGCTGAGGTGCCAATACCAAAAGAGCATGGGGAGTCTGCACAGTTTCTGGTTAGATCAATAGAAAAAAAATCCATGTACGTAACTGTTAATTCCTCATCCTTCACTAGCACTAAATTTGTCACTTTAAATTTTGAACCAGGGAAATGCCACCTGTCGTTCTGTCCCCATTCCCCATAGCTCTTCAATCTTTACATGCCGCAAGACTTTTTTGATAACTTGTACTCATMCCAGTGTCTACTGAAACCCCATCATGTAATGTACCGGGCACCTTCTTTTAAAAAAAAAAAAAAAATGTTTACTCTGTGGGTTTGGTTCATTTCAATTTCTGCGTTCTGACACATATTTTTTTAATAAAGATGAGAAAGAGAAAATGACTGTTGCAGTACATTTCTAGACCTACTTTAACTTTACCTCAGATGACAGTTTGTTAACATATATGGACACATTATTTTTAACTTTATGTACAATGCATTCAACAGAACAGCGAAATTTTTAGAGATTTTCCATTAATTTCTGTAACACGCCATGTAAAACTGTTACAAATAAACATGTTTGAGAACAACAGTTTAGCCTGGCTTTATTCCATAAGTTTCCACCGGGATAATCAGGCCATGGATTTAGAGGAGGAAATCACTTCTGTTTCCATCTGACGGGAAGAGGATGGCCTCTGCCTCCCTGGCCCTGGGCGAGAGCAAACTTGACTGGGATGTTAGATCAGGCCATCCTCAGTCTTCAGCTGAACTCCGATAGCAACCCTGCGAGTGAGAGCAGAAGATGTTAGGAAAGGCAAACCTTGGGGAGATTTGGTGCTTGGACCGCAGGTATCATGGAACTTTCAAAATTAGTGAAGATCCTCTACCCCCAGTTTAATAGATTTTTTTTAAGMGTCTATTAAAATCTATTAAATTGGATTGGAAAACCAAGGTTAACCTAAGTTGTCACAGAGTTCCTCACCTTTCATTTGAAGGTCAATGGCTTTCAGAGACTTAAAGCACATAGCATTTATGTTCCTTCACATTCCCCACACATTCACATAAAGAAAAATGTCTGAAGCTGGATTCTTACTTTAATGTATATTGAAGAATAGAAAAAAAATGTATTTATGTGTATGTATGTGTATATATATATATATGTGTGTGTATGTGTGTGTGTGTGTGTGTATGCATGTGTATATGTGTGTATGTGGTTCTTATCTCCTTTTTAAACTAAATCCATTTATCCGTCCAATAATCAACCAGATTACAGACTACAATTAGGTTATTGAGATGCCACCAACCACTTCTGACTAGGAATGGTTGTGTTAATGATTGCAGAAACACAAACCCTCAATCTGGCCTTGTTATACGGAAGGTTTTAAACAGATGTTATCACCAACTTAGAGAAAACGAGAGAACTGGCTTATATTACAGCAAAATAAATTTGGAACCCATAAAACAACTTCCATACAGTAAGAAGTGCTAAATCCTGGGTTGAATAACTCAAGATGTTACAGAGCAACTATTGGTGCTAGAAGTTCTGTCCATTGTGTTGATTAATTCTATAAACATTCTGGAAGGAGTGAACATTATTACCAATCTGTAGATAAGGAAACAGATTTAGGATGAAAACCATAAAAATATGTTATATGCATTTACAAATATACCACAAGAAAACCCACTATTCTATATAATTTATATGCACTAAAAGAAAGAGATTAACTTCCCCGTTAGTAAATGGCCAAGTTGAGATTTGAATTTTAGTCCCTACTTAGAGTCGATAATAATTTTTTAAGTAGTTGGAAATTTACTGTTTTAAATAGGTCTATATAGGTTTGTTGRAAAACACTGACTTCCTGTCCTTCTTCAGTAATATTACTGATCTCAGTAATATGTTAGGTTTCTAAGCTCCTCCAGGTTTGAGTAAAAATAAAAATCCATTAGTTGTTACTATCTTAAGTGGCTAAATACACAGTTACTTCTTTAATTGACACTTTAGGAGAGACACGTGCGAAAGAGATAAAGAAGAAATCTTTTTGTCCAAGTAGTTCATACCAAGCACTGGTTTACTCAGTAAAGAGTGGCTTACTCTGCCAGCGTACATGGATCTTGAAAGTGACAAATTAAAAGGTGTCCTATTTAACTGCTAGGCGTATGCCAAAATAAGTCAGGCAGACCTATCTGCTTTCATTCTGTGCTTGAGAGCAAACCCTTGTTGTTTTGACAGTGAATGTTTTTTGTTTTACTCAAGAGTGACAGCAGGGAAAACGCCTAGAATAAAAACAGGTTTCAACAAAATCAACCTTCAAAGCTTTGAAAGTCTTTTAAATGATGTTTAAATTCAAGGGAAATGTGAGCAATGGTGCCTGAAAGATTAGAGGGAGAGAGGGGGGGGAAAAATACCCAGATGTAAATGACTTTCAAGCCATTGAGTGACCAGATCTTGGCTATTATGTTAAAATACGAATGGCCAACGGTGTACTCCTGCTTCATCCATGCTATGCATATCCTAGTTGTCTTTTCTAAATCCATATTAAAACCTTCAGGGGAGGGACATGTGCTCCCCATTTAACAGGTTAGGAAACTGAAATTCAGAGATGCTACGACATAGCTCTGTATTAATAGGGCAAAAAATGTACCCAGAGGCTGCCGTCATCCCAGGGTTTGAATCCCAAGCCTCTCTGCTCTATTGCACGTGGCTTCTTGCTGACAGGGATTCTGCCATGTCAAATTGCTCAGGCACCCGCTCTAAAATACTTTGAGCCCTTCTGTATTCAATTCCAAGCTCTGTCTATTATATTAGAAAAATCACACCATACATTACCCTGATGGATACAGTACAGAAATTGATTCTTAACTAAAAATGACTATAGTTATTTTAAAACAAAGGGAAAATCCAGTTTTATTCTCAGGAACAGTAATAGCTCTAACCCAATCCAATGAATATTTAATTTCAAAACAAAACCCTCACATTCACTTTATCTTCCAAGGTACAGAGATCTAAAGAAGGAGCCTTTTGAACAGGCTTTCTGTTCCTTCTTTGCTGAAGAATATTAATGACTGCCAAGTGGAAAATGTCTAAATATTCTTGCGAGATGGCAGCCTCTAGTGACTTGGGTCTTTAATCTTCYGAACCACCTCTTGCCACTTCTGTCACTCACTCTGGGGTCACAGCCTGGAGTGGGGAACGGGCAACCTTGGCTGGAGATGGAATAAACAGGTCTCAGAGCTGGCATGTTGTCAACAGTAAAATGCCAAGCTGTCTTTCTCTACACTGTACTTGGAGCCCCTCTGCTGCTCCCAGCTTTGGGGTGGAGAGTGTAAGAACCCTGAAGACTATCTCATTTCAGAGTATAGGTCAAAGTCACTCACCTACAGCCAAGGGCCATGCACTCAAGAATCAAGGAAGTTAGCTATTAAAGGAAAGCTGTTTCCTCTCACCTGTCTTGTGACCTCTCGGGGCTCCACAGAAAGAACAAGAGCAGCAGTCAGCCACCAATCAGCCCATGCTTATCCCTTTAGGGTGAAGCCCCATCATAGCGCAAACTAAAAATGGAGGAAGAATTACTCAAGATGAGCCCCATGTTTATCAGAAGAAAGACAAACGATGCAAAAATCAAGTTAGCTAAATATGGTATAGTTTTCTTTTTTCCTATTGCAAAACCTAATAAGTATCTGGCCAAATCTTCTCCCTCTGCTTCTCATTCATCTCTTTTCTCATCTAAGTGGTGCACACTGCCTTTACTGGTGAGTCAATAGGAAGAGTTTCCAGATGGTGGACTTTGAATTTGGAAAGTCTTGGTTTAGAATCTGGTTCTATAAATTGCCAGTTGTTTAAATGTACTCGAAACAAGTCACTTAAGCTCTCTAAGATTCAGTTCATTCACAGGCAAAAATCAAAGGCTGTTAGAAGAAATAAATTTGACGATTTCATCCCTGGGACATAGTAAATGCTCAATGCATATTGCCTGTTGCTACTGTCAAAGAAAGTTTGAGAGCTATTATGTGTTATTTATTTAATTCTTTCACTTTACATTTTATCCTTTCATGTCTATTTGCCCAGCATAGTAACACTCAAAGTGTGCAGGATGGCAGTGAGTGATTATTACCTCTCTTTTATCGTCAAAGAAAGACAAGGAAGTGTAACATATACATCTTTGAATTTTTCACTGGCAAAGTTTAAAGCAAAACCCTGTCATGAATTTATTTATCTTATCAAGACATATTAAGCATGTGATAGGTACCAGGTCCCATGATAAGCCCTAGTGATTCAGGAGCTTTTTAAAAATGCATACATGAGGCTCCTGCTTCAAGAAATTCAGATTCAAGTGGGGGTGGGGCAGGCTACAGTGGGGTGAATGCAGGTGTGTGGTCTTACTGTGTAGGGTGGGTGGAGCCGGGCCTGAAAAATTGAGCAGGAGTTCACACGCAGTGATGTCCTTAGAGGGACAAGCATTGGCAGCACTAGCAGGGCCAGAGAGTGTGGTGTGCCCGGAGTGGCTAAAAGTGAACCCAGAAAAGGATGCACTATTTCAGCTGTTGAGTCACACAGAGAAGCCAATTTCTCAATTTGTATTTCAAAGCTCGGATAACAAAAGACATCAAAAAAGTAATATAAATTATAGCTTAATCCCTCTAATGGATAATCAGAAATTCCTAAATTAAATATTAGCAAATCAAACACAGCTGTAAACCATGACTCAATAAAGTTGGTTCTTGGAATGCAATTAATAGACCAAGAGAGACTCTGTCATCTTAGTGGATGCCAAAAAGACATCTGATAAATTCATTAACTTCTTCAAGGGGAAAAAAATGGAAACTAGAATGATGGTACTATTCCCTTCACATGATAAAGAACATCTATCGCAAGCCAGCAGCTTACTGAAACTTAGCAGCGAAACTGGAGTCTATCCCCCTTAAAATAGAGGTCCATGGGGTCAGATACCACCTCTGCCACTGAATATTGATCTAAAATGTGAGGCAAGGCGATGCAGTGAAGTAACACAAGCTGGAGAAATCAGCAGAAGTTTAAATGTTGCCAGCCTGCATAACAAGCAGAGTCTCCAAGGAATAGTGAGATCCACTTGGGAGTGAGCACGGGACATTGCCGTGTGGAACCCACGTGTCAGGAAGCCCTGTGTGTGTTCAAAGGAGAAGGGCATAGGGAGACTTTTAAAGGAAGAAGGGGGAGGTTGTAAGTTATATAGAGACAATAATCCTTGGCCACGAAAATTAATAAGAAGGTGTCCAAGGATCAATAACAAGCCCAAGTCTGAACCGACAGTTACGGGGCAGATGTCCTTGCAGAAGTATTTTGTGTGGAAGCTTGCAGTGGCCTTTATGGAAAGCTGTAGTTCTGACAATCTTTTGTGATGGTTCATATTATCAAGCATATGTGCATGAGAATCCCTCCTTCATGAGCTCCCGGCTTTAATATACTAATAAATATATATGCATGTTTATAAGGATATGCCTATATGTAGAGTGTGTGTGTGTGTGTGTGTGTGTGTGTGTGTGTGTGCTGTAGAAAGTATGCGTGTAGATGTTTATATATTTGTAGAAAATGTATATGATGACTGTTGTATTTGG